AAGATCCTCTTCACCTCTCCGGTCAGGTCCGTGTTTTATTAATAGAGATAAGAATGATGTCATGTGACCTCCCAGAATCCTCCTCACCTCTCCGGTCAGCAGGCAGATGATCTCCAGGGTGAGGTTTAAAGTAGAATTCCAGCTAAAGCCTAACTAGTCTTAAAATGCTCCCTACCTCCTCTTAACACTTATACCAACTATCCTGCATGAAAAAAAATGTATATACTTACCGATTTTCAGCCGACTTCAGCTGCAGAATAGACCAACAATGTCTGTAAAGCCAGAAGCTGACATTACCTTTAGGCTCCCATGATGCAGCCGGACACATGAAAGCCGAATCATGTGACCGAACCAAAGTGGGTTGAGAGAAGGTTCATATATATATATATATATTATACTTTTGTTTTATCCAGAATAGTTCATTTAGGTGTTTAGAGGAAAGATGGTGAATTTTTTTGAAGATAAAAGATTTCAAAGTGACTATGGAGAAAGAGGACGACATCACAGAGACTATGGAGCAAGAGGACAAACATAATGGGTGTAAATATATAAAATAAGATTTTACCACCTCCTCTGCTGCCTCTCTCTACTTCATACTCACAGCTCTGGAAACTTCCTTTTTAAACCTTTACATCACTTCCTGTCTGTCTATCACTTCCTGTCTGCACCTGACACCACTTCCTCCCCAATTGTGGGATCACTTCCTGTGTCGGTACAATCAGGCTCTTCCTGTCTCTGTGTTCCACTCCATATGTCCCCATCCGCTCTATAATAGGAAAGTTCTCCACCTTGACAATAATGGCATTAAAGGGGGAGTCCCGTCTATTATCAGCATGTGATTATTATAAGAGAACAGGCTCTAGATGGACAGTTGGATAAATGGTTCTATATTTAGGACGTATCCGGTCTATAAAAACCAGAGGCTCTGGATGGACGGTTGGATAAATGGCTCAATATTTAGGATGTATCCGGTCTATAAACCAGAGGCTCTGGATGGACGGTTGGATAAATGGTTCTATATTTAGGAGGTATCTGGTCTATAAACCAGAGGCTCTGGATGGACGGTTGGATAAATGGTTCTATATTTAGGAGGTATCCGGTCTATAAACCAGAGGCTCTGGATGGACGGTTGGATAAATGGTTGTATATTTAGGACGTATCCGGTCTATAAACCAGAGGCTCTGGATGGACGGTTGGATAAAAGGTTCCATATTTAGGACGTATCCGGTCTATAAACCAGAGGCTCTGGATGGACGGTTGGATAAATGGTTCGATAGTTAGGACGTATCCGGTCTATAAACCAGAGACTCTGGATGGACGGTTGGATAAATGGTTCTATATTTAGGAACTCTCTGAACTATAAATCAGTCCATGTTTAGATTTGAGCATAAGTCCCACAGGAGCAGTTGGCGGATATCTGGCACTGCCACCACTAACCAACAAAACTGACAAATGTAGATGAAGTTCTAGACTTTGGGAGAGGGGGTGTGACAGTCGGTGCATACAGAGCCCATACAACTCCTGTCTACTCCTCCTCCTATGCTTTGCTGTGAAGTGCTTGGCCTTCTCATCTCTTCTATTTTATTGCAGAATCTGGACCTACTACCAGGGGTACACTTTTATTCACCAAAACACAAGCTGACAACACTATAAGCTAGCTAGTACACTTGTCTGAGAGAAACAAAATGTGATAGCAGACAGTTTCACTCTTTGTGCCCAGTATAGCTGGTGGTGGGTTCCAACTTAATCTGCAATAAACAGAAGAGATATGGTGCCAGAGTGCAGCAGAAGGAGCGGGGCTCAGTGCTGGCTGTACCTCCTCTATAGGGACACCCATATTTTAGGCTTCAGGGAGAAAATGCAGCTGCAGCCACACTGACATAACAAAGAAAGACTTAAAAGGTGTGCTGCAAATCTTGCGGCGAATCACTGGCTCAAAATTTGCGGTAAAAAATCGAGTGAAGCCTTGACAAGTGTGGTGCAATTCTATTCAATCTTTGAATTTGAAAATGTGACATCTTCAGTCTCCTGATAAAAGCATTTTTTCTTTATTTTGGCAAGTGTGGTGCAATTCTATTCAATCTTTGAATTTGAAAATGTGACATCTTCAGTCTCCTGATAAATGCATTTATTTTTGATTTGTGCTTGCTCTCTCCCTATGAAATTGTGGGCTATCCAAGAAAGGTGTGCTGCAAATCTTGTGGCAAATCAGTGGCTCAAAATTTGCTGTAAGAAAAAATAAAAGGGTGACCCTGAAGCGAGGGGGAAAGTAGGTGAACGACTCTGAAAACCAAGAGAAAAAAAAAATGGAAAAAGGGGCAGAGGAACTTTTGCCACGGGGTACAGCGGTTTCTGTTCCCGAAAGCTATGGTGAAGTAGGACTACCCTAATAAACTCTTGGATCCCAAATGAAGCAAGTGAATAGTAAAACAAGAGACCAGTTGGTAATCAAGCTAGGGCTGCCAGACTTAAAAAATGTATCATGTTCGTCCTCCAGGATCGAAGTGAGCTTTTTATGAATAAAAATGCCTTGTATTCTGTACTTGGCCTCCACAAAACTAAGGGTAGGGGATTTCTACACGTGGACTGTGGGTTGCTTTGTAGCCATAAAAATGAAGGAGATCAAAGGTACGAGACCACCATGGCACATCTTTTATAAGTCTGTGGAGGCAAGTGTCCCACTGGTTTCTCCTGACATTGATTTGTGTAAGCGATACTACCAAGTAATACACCCTAATCCATAGACAATGCGCCAGTGGATGGGACCAACAAATGTGGAGCATGTCACCATCAACCCCACAGACGCGACTGAAAAATAATTTTTAACATTTTTTTAAAGCATTGGCACACATCCTTCAGGCCGCTGCCCAGTTCCCTTTTTTGGACAATCACCCTTGCCTATTAGCTCAGAAAATGGCCATCACTGATATCTAAGGTTTGGCTTCAGGATCCAAACTTCAGTAGCATTCGCTAAACCGGCACCGAATAAAACCCAGGTAAGTTCATATCATCAATATTTATAATGATGAAAAAACAAAAGAATGAAAGCCAAACTGAAATTGATGCGCATGATTTACAAAGTACACACAGTAACTGCATGAATACATGAATTGTTAACAATGTTTCAAAATGGATACAGTGTATACACAAGAGTCCTTTATTTAGTATCCTTTATGGTAAATTTACACAATTGACATCACTGTAAGTTATTGGTGTGTGTGTATGTATATATATATAGATAGTAAGATAACTGTAAAGTATAATCACTCTATTTCGTGGATAATACATCTTCCCATTTTTATCAAACATTTTTTCATCTGGAATTTCCTGGAAGTGTTCAGTGCATAGAGCCCTAGATCTGAGTAATTATCCTGATAAAGGGTGTTTGAGAATTTTATCATCAACTATGAATGAACTCCAAAAGGAGATGCTGCTCTTATCAGATCCAGTCTCTTGTGGAATTTTACATTACAATGCAGAAAAGTCCTCAGCAAACACATTGCATTCTCAATAATAGCAACCTGGTAGGGACATCCCTTTATCATCAGTGTCTACATCCTCACCACCCATTGTTCTCTCAGTAGAGTCCACATCACTAAACACTCTGCACCCCGGAGTTGTGTCTCTTCTCTCAATGTCTGTACTACATTCTCTGACAGCTCTCCCCCCCACCATCCACACTACATTCTCTGATAGCTCTCCTCCACCATCCACACTACATTCTCTGACAGCTCTCCTCCACCATCCACACTACATTCTCTGACAGCTCTCCTCCCACCACCATCCACACTACATTCTCAGACAGCTCTCCTCCCATCATTCACACTACATTCTCTGACAGCTCTCCTCCCACCATCCACACTACATTCTCAGACAGCTCTCCTCCCACCACCATCCACACTACATTCTCAGACAGCTCTCCTCCCACCATTCACACTACATTCTCTGACAGCTCTCTTCCACCATCCACACTACATTCTCTGACAGCTCTCCTCCACCATCCACACTACATTCTCTGACAGCTCTCTTCCCCCATCCACACTACATTCTCTGACAGCTCTCTTCCCCCATCCACACTACATTCTCTGACAGCTCTCCTCCACCATCCACACTACATTCTCTGATAGCTCTCCTCCCACCATCCACACTACATTCTCTGACAGCTCTCCTCCCACCATCCACACTATATTCTCTGACAGCTCTCCTCCACCATCCACATTACATTCTCCGACAGCTCTCCTCCCCCATCTACACTACATTCTCCGACAGCTCTCCTCCCACCATCCACACTACATTTTCTGACAGGTCTCCTCCACATCCACATTACACTTTTCTGTTGGATTGAAAGATTTCCCGCACTCTGAACATGAATAAGGACGCTCACCTCTGTGATTTCTCTGATGAATAACAAGGTTTTTTTTCAAATTAAAAGATTTCCCGCACTTTGAACATGAATAAGGAAGCTCACCTGTGTGAATTCTCTGATGTACAACAAGATCTCCTTTATGAGCGAAAGATTTCCCGCACTCTGTACATAAATAAGGACGCTCACCCATGTGAATTTTCTGATGTTTAACAAGGGCTCTTTTATGAATGAAGATTTCCCGCACTCTGTACATGAATAAGAACGCTTAACTGTGTGAATTTTCTGATGAACAACAAGTTCTCCTTTCGAAGTGAAACATTTCCCGCACTCTGAACACGAATAAGGACGCTCACCCGTGTGAATTCTCTGATGTATAACAAGGATTCCTTTCTGAGTGAAAGATTTTCCGCACTCTGAACATGAATAAGGACGCTCACCTGTGTGAATTCTCTGATGTGTAACAAGGTCTCTTTTTTGAGTGAAACATTTTCCCACACTCTGAACACGAATAAGGACGCTCACCTGTGTGAATTCTCTGATGTGTAACAAGGTCTTTTTTCTGAGTGAAAGATTTCTTGCACTCTGAACATGAATAAGGACGCTCACCCGTGTGAATTCTCTGATGTGTAACAAGATGAGATTTTTTATGGAAACATTTCCCGCACTCTGAACATGAATAAGGACGCTCACCCGTGTGAATTTTCTGATGTTTAACAAGGTGTCCTTTACAAGCGAAAGATTTCCCACACTCTGAACATGAATAAGGACGCTCACCTGTGTGATTTCTCTGATGTACAACAAGTTCTGTTTTACGAGCGAAAGGTTTCCCGCACTGTGTACATGAATAAGGACGCTCACCCGTGTGAATTCTGTGGTGTATAACAAGGTCTCCTTTATGAGTGAAAGATTTCCCGCACTCTGAACATGAATAAGGACGCTCACCCGTGTGAATTCTCTGATGTGTAACAAGATGAGATTTTTTATGGAAACATTTCCCGCACTCTGAACATGAATAAGGACACTCACCCGTGTGAATTTTCTGATGTTTAACAAGGGCTCTTTTATGAATGAAAGATTTCACGCACTCTGAACACGAAAAAGGACGCTCACCTGTGTGAATTCTCTGATGTGTAACAAGGTCTCTTTTCTGAGTGAAAGATTTCCCGCACTCTGAACACGAATAAAGACGCTCACCCGTGTGAATTCTCTGATGTGTAACAAGGATTCCTTTCTGAGTGAAACATTTCCCGCACTCTGAACATGAATAAGGACGCTCACCCGTGTGAATTTTCTGATGTTTAACAAGGTCTCCTTTACAAGTGAAAGATTTCCCACACTCTGAACATGAATAAGGACGCTCACCTGTGTGATTTCTCTGATGTACAAAAAGTTCTCTTTTAAGAGCGAAAGATTTCCTGCACTGTGTACATGAATAAGGACGCTCACCCGTGTGAACTCTCTGGTGATTAACAAGGTATCCTTTATGAATGAAAGATTTCCCGCACTCTGTACATGAATAAGGACGCTGACCTGTGTGAATTCTCTGATGAACAACAAGTTCTTCCTTCAAAGGGAAACATTTCCCACACTCTGAACACGAATAGGGACGCTCACACCATGTGAATTCTCTGATGTGTAACAAGGATTCCTTTCTGAGTGAAAGATTTCCCGCACTCTGAACATGAATAGGGACGCTCACCTGTGTGAATTCTCTGATGTGTAACAAGATGAGTTTTTTTATGGAAAACATTTCCCGCACTCTGAACATGAATAAGGACGCTCACCCCAAGTGAATTTTCTGATGTGTAACAAGGTATCTTTTCTTACTGAAACATTTCCCACACTTTGAACATGAGAATAGATTGTCCCCTCGATGAGCTTCTTCATGGGGTGCAGAAGATTCCTCGGGATTAGATGGATCTGTTGATCTCTCTGCAGTATGAGATCCTAAATGGACATTTGCACTCCTAGTACGTGATTGGTGAGAAGATTCCCCCTGATCAGAGGGATCCATCGATGTCTCCGGACAGGAAGGTCTGTGATGGATATTGGGTGTATTTGGATTCACTCCTGGAGAATCCTGTGTGATGGCATTATCTTCTGACTTCCAATCAGCAGATAATTGAAAACCTCTCTCCGAGGAATTCCTGACATCAGCGCCATCTGATGGAGAGAAATGGAAGAAATGTCAGAATTCACAAATAACTGGAGATTTAGGTCCTCCCCCGTCAGTGGAATAAGTGGAAATGTCGATCTCACAGCTGGGCTCCTGTTCTCCCTCCAAAATCGATCAGAAAAGTGTCCATATCTCTCCTGCCTCTGATTGAAGGTAATGAAGTGTAGATTGCACTCCATTCGTTTTTGTCCCCAGCCACAGCGCCCCTGGAAAGTGACAGTCGGACCAGGAAGTGATGTCACTCACATGGCTTTGAGCAAGTAGATGCTCCACCCAGAGATCCTCCCCACGGAGGTGGAATGTCGGTGCTCTGGCTCTGTGTGTCTTCCCAGCACAGGGGGAACTGGATGAGGATTGGTGAAGCTGGCACTCGTCTTCCTGAATAGCAAAGTTTATTGAACGAGTAAAATGTGCACAGAAAATGGTTTACGCGTTTTGGCAATAAGCCTTCGTCATAGCCACCCCTCCCCCGCACTGTATACAATGTATATAAATATATACAGCATCTCCCAGAAGTGAGTCCCCCCTCCACCGCACTCTATACAATGAATATATATACAGTATCCTCCAGAAGTGAGTCCCCCCCTCCCCCCCGGTCTGTATACAATGTATATATACACACACAGTATCTCTCAGAAGTGAGTCCCCCCCTCCCCTGGTCTGTATACAATGTATACAGTTGTGTGCAAAACAATAGCAGTGTGTTGAAAAAAGTGAATAAAGCTCAAAATCCTTCTAATAGCTTTTATTTCCATACACACAAATGCACTACACATTCTATTCCAAATCAAAACATGAAGAAAAATAGATCAAATTTGTGTTGTTCCTCTAAAAAAATTGAAGAAAAGTGAATATTAGACTCCATAACGTCAATCTTGTTGGTCTGGAACCAAGATGTTGCACGTTTACTGGTGTTTTCAAGAGCATTTCCTCTTCAGCATAAGGCAGCATGACCTCTTCAAGTATTCTGATGTATTCAAACTGATCCATGATCCCTGGTATGTGATAAATAGGCCCAACACCGTAGTATGAGAAACATCCCCATATCATGATGCTTGCGCAACCATGCTTCACTGTCTTCAGTGTACTGTGGCTTGAATTCAGTGTTTGGGGGTCATCTGACAAACTGTCTCCGGCCACTAGACCCAAAAAGAACAATCTTACTTTCATGAGTCCACAAAATGTTGCGCCATTTCTCTTTAGGCCAGTCAATGTGCTCTTTGGCAAATTGTAACCTCTTCAGCACATGTCTTTTTTTCAACAGTGGGACTTTGCGGGGGCTTCTTGCAGATAGCTTGGCTTCACATAGGCGTCTTCTAATTGTAACAGTACTCACAGGTAACTTTACACCTTCTTTGATCTTCCTGGAGCTGATTGTTGGCTGAGTCCTTGCCATTTTGGCTATTCTTCTATCCATTCCAATGGTAGTGTTTCGCTTTCTTCCACGTCTTTCGGGTTTTGGTTGCCATTTTAAAGCATTTGCGATCATTTTAGCTGAGCAGCCTATCATTTTCTGCACTTCTTTATATGTTTTCCCCTCTTCAATCAACTTTTTAATCAAGGTACGCTGTTCTTCTGAACAATGTCTGGAACAACCCATTTTCCTCAGAATTTCAGAGAGAAATGCATGTACAACATTTGCTGCGTTCCTTCCTTAAATAAGGGCAATAATTGCCACCTGTTTTTCAAAGAATGAATGACCTCACTAATAGAACTCCACACTGCTATTATTTTGAACATGCCCCTTTCAATTAGTGATTCAATTACACAGAATCAGCAGCATGCATGTCATGACTGTTGGGTCTGTTGGATTTCTATTACTCTACTACACCTGCTAGTAAATTATTTGCCATGTAGAAATATCATTTCTACCAAAAACAGTGATTGATCAGGTTAGTGATGTCTGTCTGCTATTATTTTGAACACAACTGTGTATATATACAGTATTTCCCAGAAGTGAGTCCACCCCTCCCCCAGACTGTATACAATGTATATATATATATATATATATATATATATATATACACACACACACACACACACAGTATCCCCCAGAAGTGAGTCCCCCCCTCACATTTGTGTCAATATTTAAATCTCTCTTTTCATGTGACAACACTGAAGAAATGACACTTTGCTACAATGTGACGTAGTCAGTGTACAGCTTGTATAACATGTAAATTTGCTGTCCCCTCAAAATAACTCAACACACCGGCATTAATGTCTAAACCGCTGGCAAGTGAGTCCACCCCTAAGTGACAAGGTCCAAATTGGGCCCAATTAGCCATTTCCCCTCCCCGGTGTCATGTGACTCGTGTTACAAGGTCTCAGGTGTGAATGGGGAGCAGGTGGGTTACATTTGGTGTTATCGCTCTCACTCTCTCATACTGGTCACTAGAAGTTCAACATGGCACCTCATAGCAAAGAACTCTCTGAAAAAAAGAATTGTTGCTCTACATAAAGATGGCCTAGGCTATAAGAAGATTGCCAAGACCCTGAAACTGAGCTGCAGCACGGTGGCCAAGACCATCCAGCGGTCTAACAGGACAGGTTCCACTCAGAACAGGCCTCGCCATGGTCCACCAAAGAAGTTGAGTGCACTTCTGGCAGACACTCTATATATACACTGAATATTATATACCAATTAAATTTGGTATATATATATGTAATGTCCTGACTTGTACTTTATGGCTAGGACGAAGGCTTATTGCCAAAACGCGTAAACCATTTTCTATGCACATTTTACTCGTTCAGTGAAGTTTACTCTTCGGGGAGATGAGTGCGGGCTATACCAATCCTCAGTCCACATCACTTCCAGGCTCTTATTAGGGAAGGGAGATCAGCGAACGAACATTTGTTGGTCTCCTATCTATGTGGTGACACCAACCATGGAGGTCCTGGTCCCACAGGCCATGTCACCAACCGGCTGTGGTTTTACGGGCAGCCAGTGCCCATAACAGGGAAAGCATGCCAATGAAAAATATGGCTCAGAATTGCACGTGTGCAGTCATCGGAGACCATCCGAGTGCACTTCCTGCTACTTTGTGTGTTCGGGCAGCCAGGAGGGCGGCGGGTTTGGTGGAGGCGGTGGACTGAGCGTGAGCGCCAGTATGTGATGTCATCTGTTATGGAGCCCAAGCCTCCCGTGTGACAATGTGGGACGGTCACGGATGAGAGAAAAGGCAGGCAGGGGACTGTTTGTCGGTCAGACTGTCAGTGCTGTTCTGGACTTTGGAGGGACCACCTGGGCCTGACTTGGGAGCGTCACGGAGTCTGGTAGTCAATTTCATAGCCACCGCCTGCCTGCCCATTGACTTCTTGCCCTCCTGTCTGTTCCCAAGCCAGAAAGGGGGAGCTGTTTTCGTAGTTCTCCTACTCCCTAGGCTGTTCAAAGTGCCGGGAAGGACACTGTGAGCTTTCGCGCACCATTGGTCTACCTCCAGGGGAATTCTACCCAGGCTTACATTTTTTTTTTGTAGACCACAAGGTCCGGTCTCCTCCTGCATATATATCTCTTCAGAAGCAGGAAGTGACTCATGTGGGGGAAGGTACATCACAGCACCAAGTGTTAACCCTTGAAACACCACACATTAACCCTTTATTAGGCACATATTTAACCATTTAGCACCTGCCTGCAGGACGATGTGAAGATCTGAGAATTATCTAACATTTATCCTTAAACTACAAATCTTCTACTGAGAAGTAAAATGAGACTGTGACCCGTTTTTCCATAGTGCCTGTACTTACCTGTGTTGATAGGTGGGGAAATTTCTTCCTGTTCACTCTTCATAACCATCCCAACCTCCTCCATGGACGGCTGATCCCCTCCCACATACGTCTCCTCTTCTTCCTCTTTAATCCCAGTTTTTATATTAATCCGTTCTTCACCCTAAACCCCAAAATAATAAAAAAACATCTGTTAAAATGAACTCTAGGCAGATATAAAAGACACAAATGACAGCAGCTTTGCGTTCCCTACTACATCACTAACTGTGTTAAAAATAAATGTAAGCAGTGTAAGTACCTGAATGGGACACGGTATCAGGCTCTTGCAGTATCTGTGCATAAAAGCTCAGTTTGGGAGAGGGAGCAGCAGAACAAGGAGCCACTCAACTGTGCTTTCGTTCTAACAAGGGACATGCTGATAGCAGGAGAGAGCAGAGTGACAGAGAGATGAGCTCATCAGTCTGCTGCTTCTCCTTTCACTATCCAGTCACAG